CTTGGAGGTCATCTAGTCCAACCCCCTGCTCAGGCAGGAAACCCTATACCATTTTGGACAAATGGCTGTCCAGTCTCTTCTTAAAAACTTCCAGTGTTGGAGCATTCACCGCTTCTGGAGGCAGGTTGTTCCACTGGTTAATTGTTCTAACTGTCAGGAAGTTTCTCCTTAGTTCTAGGTTGCTTCTCTCTTTGGTTAGTTTCCATCCATTGCTTCTTGTCCTGCCTTCAGGCGCCTTGGAAAATAGCTTGACTCCCTCTTCTTTGTGGCAGCCCCTGAGATATTTGAAGACTGCTATCATGTCCCCCCTCGTCCTTCTCTTCATTAAACTAGACCTACCCAATTCTAGCAGCCGTTCCTTGTATGTTTTAGCCTCCAGTCCCCTGATCATCTTTGTTGCTCTTCTCTGTACTCTTTCTAGAGTCTCAGCATCTTTTTTATATCGCGGTGACCAAAACTGGATGTTTTGGTCACCGCGATTTATTGCTCATGCCTCTACACACATCTAGTCAACTAATGGCCAGCGTTACACTGGTGCTCAACGTAATTCAAAAGGGATTGGACTTGGACCACTCGTGGGAATGTAATGATGATGCCAGGCTAAGTCCTCTCTTGACTCCGCTCCCAGACTCTGCCTGTCCTTCTCTTACATGTCTGGAATATCTGTGACCCTCCAGCTGTTGTTGAATGATAACGTCCAATGGCCACTGATGAGGGATACTGGGAGTTGCAGTTCAGAACATCTGGACTCCAGTAGTCTGCCTGGCCACTTTGTCTCCAGTGGAGCGTTTTTTTGCTTGTACAAAGGACGGACATATTAGCGTGTGAATCCAGGCATGCTGATCCGCTTTCTCTTCTCTCTTCCGTACCTTTAGGATGCAAAGTTTGTGGAGGAACGGCGGAAGCAGCTGCAGAACTACTTAAGAAACGTGATGAACAAAGTCATCCAGACTCTGCCAGAATTCATTGCCAACCCCAAAAAGGAGACGCTCATCCAACTGATGCCCTTTTTTGTGTAAGTATCTCTCGAAAGGATTGATTGTTTCATGTGCATCAAGTGGTATTTTTCTTTCTTCTGTAAGATTGTCCCAACTTGGAGTGTGATTCAAGAAGCATTCTTCATCCAGCACAAAAAGGTTTAAACCTTTTGTTTTGAGAGAGAGAGAAAAGGAGTTTAAAAACAACATCAACAGCACTGCTTCATTTGAAGTGTGATTAGATCGCATTGATAGCAGTAAATAAATCTTTAGCGATGAATAGAATTGTAAGAGGGGGGAAAAATAACTATCCGTTTGGAGGAACAGCATTGGAAATACTTTAGGAGTGTGGGAAGACCCTCAGACTATGAAACTGAAAGCTGTGCCTCAATCTTAGATTAGTATAAGTAGTCCTCACTTAGCGGCCACAATTGAGACTGGCAACGCCGTCACTAAGTGCAAAATGTCATGTGATTTCAGTGGGCTTACGACCTTATTTCCCCTTTGAACGTTAAGCGAATCACTGTGGGGCATTAACGAAACTTCACCGAACTGCGCCTTACAATTTTACCCCTTTTCTATTAGCTCCGCTTCTTGAGAAGCCCACAAATGGCAATCACGTGACCGCGGGACACTGCAATGGTCATACCACACCGGCCACCGATGCGCCTCCGTGGATGCTCCCCAACTCGCGCCGCACCTTCCTTGCACACCCCTGCACAGCCCCCCTGACTCGCACGTGTCTCTGTCAAGCACCAGGGAAATGAGAAGATCCAGGCAGCTCACATGGGTAAAAAAAGATGGATTGCAAGGTTAAGCTCTCTACAAGAATCTGAGCTACTAACAGTCAAAGCGTGTTGGCGGTAGATAAGGCTAGAAGGAATGGCGGGCTGGACGTGGTTCTCTTGTGAACGCGAAGGGACTCAAGACTGATGACGTGTTTGACTCCTCCCTCAGGTTCATCCCAGCCATCTCCTACATCAGGGGTCCCCCAACCCTTGGGAACTGGGGTTCGGAACTGGGCCAGGCGAGCCCAGGGCTGGTGCAAGGGTGCATAAAGCGACTTACGCGAGCGGTGTGCCAGCACACATGCACAGCATGCACAGTTTGACTTATGTGAGCGGCGGGCTGGTGTGCACGCACACATGCGCGCACCGGCCCATTGTTCACACAGCCCGGTTTCCCTCCCCCCCCCGGCCAGGCCATTAAGCTGCAAAGGTTGGGGACCGCTCTCCTACTGTCGCTAAGCAATGCGGTTCTGCTTTACGACCACATTGCTGAACAATGGATATTCTGCTCTCCATGGCCGTCCTTAGACAATTGACTACCTGCCTACCGTAGCTATTTGCATACTTAATACATTTGGGTGTTTGGTTTTTTTTGTATCTTCCAAGTGATTAATGGTTTTAAGTGAGCCAGGCTACCACAGGTGACCAAGAGGAAAGGTGAGCCATCAATCTAATGGACAGTCACTTGGAAGAAGTTACAGCAAGGTGAAAATCCTCACCTTTTCCACGTCTTTAATTGGAACACTCTGTTCCCCGTGGCACATTGGTGCAGGCAAAAAATCATTTGGCTGAAGAATAGAGTCAGAGTTGTTTTTTTCCCTTTTTTTTTGAAGGCGGGCTGTAGAAACACAAGTTTGATTCCCCAAAAGGACAGGGAGATAGATGTTTTTGGAGATGCACTTCTTAGCCCCCGTCATCTGGGGTTTCCTGGCAAAGGGATTTCCATAATCTTCACGTTGTTCATATATGCGGCTTTCCCTTTCAAAACCGAGCAAGATATAAATATATGAATGAGGTTTTTTTTATTTTTTTTTAACAAGCTGGCTTTCAATGTCTTATGTCCCACCTGAGAATCCTGATTTCTGTGGAAAACCCCAATTTGTAAATCTTGCTGTATTCCCTTTTTTTGTTTGTCTCAAGCCTGAAGCGATCTCGGCAGGAAAATGTGACGGATTTTAAACTCGGGCAGAGCGTGCTTTGGATACTCTGGGCTTGTCGCTGCAAACTGGGCAGTGACACGGGTTAACTGGTTTTTCTGGCAGCTTTTCCCAATCAATGGTTTCCCACTTAGATCAATGCCCTTCCTGCCTTTCCAGTATTGGCTAGGATTTTGTCTCTCCCTGGAGAAAAAAGATGATAAGTGACCAGGAACATCTCTGGATCCCGATGTATTTTCTCGGCGTTGATGCAGGGTTTGTAGCCCAGAGTTGGCATCTGGCTGGGGAATTCTGGGAGTTGAAGTCCACCCGTCTGAAAAGGTGCCTAAGGTTGAGAGACACTGTGCCTTGACGAACGGTCCTGGGCAATGAAGTCCAAAGATGGGTACGGGAAGAGAAGGGCCCACTTGGGATGAAATGCCTGCCAGATTTACTAAGATAGGGCTCTGAAATGTTTTTGCCGGTTATTTCTCCAAGGATCAATTAGCTTTCTTTCTTTCTTTCTTTCTTTTTTAACTTTATATATTCCCTTCTAGGAATTATTTCACAAAAGCTTTAAGAGGAATGGTATTGCATTAATTTCCTTGCATTGATTTAGCCTGTTAATTGTTTTCAATGGTGCATTAAATTATTATTAACCCTTTGGTCAGTATAGTCCACCCAGCCTCTCCTCTCCTCTCCTCTCCTCTCCTCTCCTCTCCTCTCCTCTCCTCTCCTCTCCTCTCCTTTCCTTTCCTTTCCTTTCCTTTCCTTTCCTTTCTCTTCCCTTCCTTTCCTTTCCTTTCCTTTCTCTTCCCTTCCTTTCCTTTCCTTTCTCTTCCCTTCCCTTTCCTTCCCTTCCTTTCCTTTCTCTTCCCTTCCTTTCCTTTCCTTTCCTTTCCTTTCCTTTCTCTTCCCTTCCTTTCCTTTCCTTTCCTTTCCTTTCCTTTCTCTTCCCTTCCTTTCCTTTCCTTTCTCTTCCCTTCCCTTCCCTTCCCTTCCNTTCCTTTCCTTTCCTTTCCTTTCCTTTCCCTTCCCTTCCCTTCCTTTCCTTTCCTCTTTTCCTTCTTCTTTCCTTCCTTTCCTTTCTTTTCCCTTCCCTTCCTTTCCTTTCCTCTTTTCCTTCTTCTTTCCTTCCTTTCCTTTCTTTTCCCTTCCCTTCCCCTTCCCCTTCCCCTTCCCCTTCCCCTTCTCCTTCCCCTGATAATGATGCTAAGGTAACCTGAAGTAACAAGGTGGAAAGGAGACATTATGAAACTTGGCTTATATTCCATTTGATTCCGTATGCCTGAGTTCATGCAACACATAAACCACGAATTATGGTCAGCAAACCACACGACCAGCTTTGCAGAATACACTGCACAGAAACAAACTAAACACACATTCTGCTTTGTTCTGGTGGCCAGGTCAGTGCATTTTCACATACACCTTGCAATCTTTCTCCTCCTTCCACCTGATTTGGCAGCAAACGGGAGAGGTTTATCCACAGGCAGCTCCGATTCTGAGGCACTTCTCCCTGCCCTGAAGGCCCCTGAAGCTATTGGCTGAATCCCTCCTTTAATAAGGGCTCCACTCACACTTGCCGAATAGCTGTGCCCATGGCCCAAACCCAGCCGTTGTTAACATTCGTGAGAAATTAATTGCATGGTCTTTAAATAGCCTCGGGTCTCACTAGCAAACCGAACATCAAATTCCAAAGCAATTCCAGAGCCGGAGGTCAAAAAAAAAAGCTGAGAAAGTAGTCGGATCAGCTCTTGAACCCGGGAGGGCTTTTAGCTGAAGCATCTGGAAGCATCTGAAAAGGCAGGCAAGGCAAGTTTCAGAGTCACAGTACTGAGGTTAACGAGGAGGCTGGAGAACACAGCCAAAGCGTTGGTTGTCTGGAGAACGGAATAACCGGGTTGGAAGGGACCCTGGAGGTCTTCTAGTCTGACCCCCCTGCTTCAAGCAGGAGACCCTGTACCATTTCAGGCAAATGGCTGCCCAGCCTCTTCTTAAAAACCTCCCAGTGTTGGAGCACCCAAAACTTCTGGAGGCAGGTTGTTCCACTGGTTAATTGTTCTAACTGTCAGGAAGTTTCTCCTTAGTTCTAGGTTGCTTCTCTCCTTGATTAGTTTCCATCCGTTGCTTCTTGGATGGTATAGTATAGTATAGGGGGTACCTTGCTCAATAGTAGTAACTGTGAGAGGGACCTCGGAGTCCTAGTGGACAATCACTTAAGTATGAGCCAGCAGTGTGCTGCAGCTGCCAAAAAGGCACTTTACAATGCCTTAGTAAGGCCACACTTGGAATACTGCATCCAGTTTTGGTCACCACGATGTAAAAAAGATGCTGAGACTCTAGAAAGAGTGCAGAGAAGAGCAACAAAGATGATTAGGGGACTGGAGGCTAAAACATATAAGGAACGGTTGCTGGAATTGGGTCTGTCTAGTTTAACGAAGAGAAGGACGAGGGGGCACATGATAGCAGTCTTCCAATATCTCAGGGGCTGCCCTAAAGAAGAGGGAGTCAAGCTATTCTCCAAAGCACCTGAAGGCAGGACAAGAAGCAACGGATGGAAACTAATCAAAGAGAGAAGCAACCTAGAACTAAGGAGAAACTTCCTGACAGTAAGAACAATTAACCAGTGGAACAACCTGCCTCCAGAAGCGGTGAATGCTCCAACACTGGAAGTTTTTAAGAAGAGGCTGGACAACCATTTGTCTGAAATGGTATAGGGTTTCCTGCCTGAGCAGGGGGTTGGACTAGATGACCTCCAAGGTACCTTCCAGCTCTATTCTGATTAAGGAGAAACTTCCTGACAGTCAGAACAATAAACCAGTGGAACTCTTTGCCTCCAGAAGTTGTGAATGCTCCAACACTGGAAGTTTTAAAGAAGAGACCAGACAACCATTTGTCTGAAATGGTATAGGGTTTCCTGCCTGAGCAGGGGGTTGGACTAGATGACCTCCAAGGCCCCTTCCAACTTTATTATTATTATTATTATTATTATTATTATTATTATTATTATTATTATTATTATTATTATTATTATTGCTGTTGTTGTTGTTGTTGCTGTTGTTGTTGTTGTTGTCCTGCCTTCCAGTGCTTTGGAATGATGATTGTCTAATAGTC